CAGAATATTAGGACTCTGATTTATCAATCATGTCACAATCAGGATAGAAGCTCTTCCTCAACATCTCAGTTTTCACTTTGCTACCCAGGGGGTAGCAGGGTGAACAGTCCATGATCTTGGTGGCTCCTCTCATGTAGTTGTCTGGGTTCTCCGTGGCATAGTTGGATGTGGATGTCCTCCAGTTGAGGGCTGTCCATCCTGATTGTCTCCTCCAGAGGGCTAGGCGGTCGTGCTCAACCACAGTGATTCTCCCAGTCCGGGCGATCTTACTGGTAAAATTTATTGTGCAATCATGGATCCTTCAGTTGCCTCAGATGGTACTGGTTCTAATGTGCTTTGGAATCTTGCCTCCAAAATTCCCACTCTCTCCACGGGTGACCCCCACGGGTGACCCCATGATGATTTTTACTCATGTTAAGGAATCAATTAATTTTGCACCAGTCTATCAAATGACTTTCTCGCCATCATCCATTTTATTCAGTTCAGATAAATAAATTGTAGTTGGAGCTTTTGAGTGGGATTCGCAGGGTCTCTTCTTGTGGTTGGTTCATAGGTAAGTAAAGTTAGTATATACGTTGTTTGAGTCTAACAGTCTGTCTGTCCGGCAACAAGCTATGTTATGAAGAAAAATGAAAAGAATGCACACAAGTATATGTTCCTGAACTTCCTGTTCCAATGTGATATATATGGTGTGTGGGGAAAAAACACTTGTATGTGTTCTATTTTTGTCTTGATAGAATATGTATTGAAATATTTATTATTGTATTAATAAATATTGAAATCAATATGTTGGTTTAGCAACGCAGCATTGAGTTTCCATTGAGCAGATACAGTAGGGTCTGTATGGGGCAACCACTGAGATTTTCACTATCATATCCCCAAAAAACGGAAAATAAAGTGTCAGCAACTCACACCTTCGCACCTTTGCCAGCTGAATATATTTGGAACCTGAGAGGGGAGTCTCTGTTACAGCGAATCCAACACAACTAGCAACACCTGAATTATCTGACAAACAATGCAGCATGGTGTGTAGGCCTTCATAAAAACACCATCATTCACACCGTTCATTAATACAAACAAATTCATTGTTTTTTTTAAAACAGCTTTTTAGAGTGAGCGCTCTACAGTAGAGATTGAATACATATTGTGGAGAAATGTGTCTGTATTCATCCCTTGATCTGTTCCACTTGGGTTTATCCTGTTTAGATGACCAGCAGTTGTCCTTGGCCTAGTTTCTGGTCTGAGGGAAGCTTAGAAGAAGCCAATAGTCCTTATGTAAAGCAGCGCACAGGATGGAGACTACATATTTGTGGGTGAGTGCCTTTTGAAGTTTTACTAGATTATTATAATAGATATGTGTAGTTAGACATTGGTGAGTGCTGTCCACAGGGAGATGTTTCTCTTAGCTCTTGAATGTGATGCATTTTTAACAGCATGTGTGTGTGTGTGTGTGGGTGTAACAGGAGCGAGGCAAGCTTTAGTATGGCGTGCTCTCTCATCTACATAATTATAATCAATATCGTTCTAGGTTGTAACTCAGCTGTAATTATTGCCATAACCTGTCATTGCTGGTTCAGATGAAAATAGCGAATCTGACCAGGTCTGCGCATCTGAGTTCTACTTTGGGAATAAGTGAGTGTAGAGGAGCTTGCTGCTGTCTTTCCAACTCCAGTGCAGCATTACATAATCTTTACAGGTCAGCCACATTAGCATGAAGCTACTACACTTAACTATGGATAATGTATCAAGGGTTTCAAGCATTAAGAGTTAAAACATTAAAGAGAAGTGCATTTGGATGGAACCAAATTAAAAAGTGCTTTCTTAATATTTTCTTTAAATGTCTGCAAATATATTAGTTAATTTATTGAAATGCCCATCTGTGCATTTCATTCTATGTATTCCCCATTAAAACATGTTGATAGTTCTCAAAATCTACTAAAAAAAGCTACAATTTGGTGTATTTCTAACAGTATTAGTTTGTAACAGTATTTCTACTATTAATTTATACACACTGTCTCATCCAAATAAACAAATAAATAAATAAATCAAATCGTGACTCACAAGGCTCTCTTTCTTACAAGTAGATAAAATGTTACACAATGGAGCAGTTGCTATTGTAAATTGTAGTGATTTTCAGCAATTCTTTTGGCCTTCTGAATTATAAGTGCATGGCTGTTGCTTCTGTGAGGGCCCTGCAGTGGACTGTTGGCTCTCCAGCGCCACCATCGCAGATCCACTCAGCTGTAACACTAGCTTCAGGCACGCTCAAATTGCCTTAACATTTTCCAGTCGGGGCTGTAAGCCAGATTCAACAACACTTCTACATCTGATGGAGCCACATTAGTGTGTAGAGATAGTGCTGTGCGATCATTGTAAAACAATAGCAGTCGATATTGAGACCCCATCAGTGAGGCCTCCTGGGACACAGACTTTTGTTTCAACCTCCTGTTCTGTATGCTCCTTCTCCACTGTACAGGGGAAGTGGACTCGGCCATAGACAGTCATTGTTTGCATTAGTCTTGATATGATAATGAGGAGAACAATGTACAAATCAAATACCAAGTGATGCAGTCCACAGATGTAACAGGACTCTGAACTCACCCGTCACTTGGCAAAAGCATTTTTCATCCAGGAGGAAATACAAAACTAAACAGCATTGATTTTGGTTTTTCCCTGAAACCATTAGACAGGACAGATTCACTAATGAATCTATTTTAGTCACATATCGGGTGAAACTGTTTATCGTTTGTAATTTTGTCATTGCGTTCATGTGACATCACAAAATTCCAAACAGCCTATGGTTTAACATATGTTTGAGGGTAATGTTTCCTGGTAACTATGGTAAGTGTCACCAGTCAGAAAACTTTCCGACACAAGAATAATCTTCGATCAAGTAATTATCTGGGAAGCCCTTTGGATAGTCTCTTTTTCTACATAAAAAAAAATAAAAAATGTATGTCTCCTTACACTCCAAGGTGAATTGGTACCTGCAAAATAAAGCACCCGCAAATAATTGTGGTATTGTTTTTAGGGGCATGTCTATTGTAGATGGACTGCATGGTAAGCTGTAGTGTCAGTATACCCCAGTGTTGAATGAGACTTACTGAACATTTCTTCCTCTAACACTAATTAAAGAATCAAAGAGGATTGGGGCTTTTGCTATTGTTGACTTGTTGATTTCACACAGTTGCTACAGCTTGTGGGAGAACACAGTGTGACTTGAAGCTCAGCTGGAGTCAGGCTGACCCACTGTTACAATTACAGTTTGTGGGTAATCAGATGAGGGCTTGGATAATAATATGGTGAGTAATCAAAGAGAAAAGTTTGCACCTCAGGGTAAGCAATCGTGAAGTCGCACAGTAGGCTCTCGCCACTTGTGTTGGTTAAAGCATGAGTATGAGTATATTTATATCATCAGCCATCTGTGACCATTGAGTCGCGTATGCTGCATCAAAGCCTCTTGTTTCCAGTGCCAGCAACTATATATGTGTGTTTTGTGTCAACTGGCTCAATGATGCACCATTGCTCCTGTGTAGTGAGGAGTGGGCAGTGAGGGGGGTGAGTTTGAGCAATTATACAACTGATGGTGCAAAGGCGCCAGTCACCGGTTCCCCTTCACACCAGCGAGAAGTGGTACGCCCCACACTCTTAAAGGTAGAGTGAGGAGAACAGGAAAGAACTGACTCTTAACTTTATAAAGACTTAATCATAATAATAGATTTTCTGCAGAATATAAAAAGCCAGGCTGTAAATACAGTAGATGATGATTCAGATGACTGGAATACTTGAATCCTCAGAAGTCTATGTTCTTCCTGGGGTCTATAGTAGTATAGTATACGATACATAAACTAAAGAGACATTTCTAAAAGTTTAAATGCAATGCAATACACTCCTGTACTTGAATACAAAATACGAAAAAAGGGCTAAACATTTGCATAAAGGTTTGTAATAGCAAACTTCTTCTACATTCTTATAATCAAGCAAAAGGTGCAAAGTCACAACGTAAATAAAATCAAACAGGTAACTCGTTAATACCAAATTGTAACATAACTTATGATGTAATGTAAGTCTCTTCATAGACCCTGCATAAAGTTGTCTACTTTCTTAGCTATTAGACCTAATCAACTGCAGTTACTGTTATTGAGGAGTAATATTTTACTTTGTTAAAATAGTACAACAAAAACATTGTGCCCATAGACAGCTGTAAGTCTGTACGCAGAATAAACTTGCTCATTACCCTGAGTTACTCTATTTCCATTCCTCCATTCTTGTTTCTTATTCTTGTTTTCTTTTTGTCAAGAAATACAATTTGGTGGCTATCCAAAATTGCGTCAGTTACAATCCTGTCCAGGCGGTTGTTTTTCTTTAGCTTGTGGAGTATGAAAAATATTTCCATCACATCGCTGTCAGAGCCACTGTCCTGGTTTGTGAACTGAACCCAGAAAACTCACAATCTACCAAAACAAGCCTTGCCATTGCCATAGCAACAACTGCAGCACCACCGCTTAACAGCTGCAGAGTGCTACAACAAGCAGAATAACCTCCTTCACGCATCCGGCATTGGTTATTTCAGCCCCTCGTTTTGTATGTCTCCTCGGCTTTAGCCCACCGCCGCCACTGCTGCTGCTGTGGTGGCTATGATGTGTTTTTCTATGATGCATATGTAATTCACACTGTTTTCTACACATTTGCTCTCGGTCTAATTCCTTCTGTCTTCACGCACACTCCTCCGCTGCCCCTGTGCTGCATCCCTCCTTCTTTTCTGCTGGCTTTATTTTTTCTTCTATCACTGTGACCTTATCTCCACTTCTTTCTCTGAGTCTTTGCTTTATATTCACAAACGCTTTTTTGACCATTGAACAATAACAAAATCAGTCTTTTTCTTGGCTCAATCCAAATTCCAGGACCACCGCTCGCTACACCCCCCCTCGCTCTCTTTATCTCTCCTCCTTCTTCCCCCTCCCGTCATCTCTGCGTTCCCTGGCTGCTTCAGTTGTTAGTCAAAGGGAGAGGATCCAGCGCAAAGGCAGGCGAGGAGGGGTAAAAACGGGGCAGAACGGCGGCGGCAGGACCGGAGCGTGAGGGGGAGAGGGGTGTGGGGTCTCAGCCCTCGGTCGCCGGGGGTCGAGGGGGGTTGAGATACACCCCAAATACTTCTTTGCTCCGAGTACCATGGACTGCCTCTGCATTGTGACTACAAAGGTAAGCTACTACTCTCTATGTCCATGTCACCTGTCACTGTGAGCTCAAAATCCAAACCTGGCGTCCGGATGTGGGACAATCTTGTGTTCTTCTTTGATCTCATCCTCAGCACTTAGTTGACTCGACTCCCACTCTTTCCGGTTTTGCATGCTTTGTGGAGGATGTGTGGCATGGAGCAACGTGGGGTTTGATGTGTGGATGGTTTTGATGCGGGGGCTTTGTGCCATAGGAGCTGCAGGAGAAACAGGCAGAGAAAGAGGAGTACAGCAGGGCACCGTGCATGCTAATGTATTTGAACTGCTGTGGACCTCGCCATATGCCAATGTGGACATCACACTTTAGCCTGTCGCTGTCTCACATAGGCCTTGACAATGAGAATCCATAGAGACATGTGAGAATCTTCACATGAGAATCTTCTTTGCTGTATTCTATTGAGAGATAAGGCGCTAAGATACTACAGTAGCTGGAGCACCTGAGTTCAGGAAGTAGTGACGATGAATTAAAATGGCACGCTGGAGCAGCTGTGCGGAAAGTGAGATAAACCCCACATTTGTGGTGAGGAAAAGTGTGCTGCACTTTTCCTCAAATACATAAACCTATTCACATGTGGTATATTACATTTATTTGCTTTTGAAGAACTCTGTTTCCGTGGCAACAGATCCAGTTGGTTGCACACAAACTTAAAAGTCAGAAGAACAACCTTCCCAAAGAACTTATACAAGCACTGATTTAGATATCTAAACTTAAACACATATACTTAAAAGAGTGATGTGTGAAACAATGCAAAAGCTCTTCAGCATTCTAAAACATCTTCAGCATTCTAAAAAGTAAAATTTGATATTGAATTGGTTAAAACTGACAAAATAAAGGTCCAATACTACGAGCAACTGAGAAGAAAAATGAAACGTGTCTGATATCAAGAAATATTTGTTTTTCATTAACATGAAATGTATACTTTCGATTTAGTATATATTCAAATAATCAGGAATGATCTTGGAATAATATTGACAATACATTTGGTGATAAGGTTTTAGTGAACAGTATTGAGAAAACCTTGACATTAACTAATATATTAGAGTTTGAGACATGTCCTGAATGTTACCTTCAGTGGGTGAGTCAGAGCTGAAAGTGCCCACATTAAGTGGTAGACCACAGTTGCACTGAGTGGAAAGTTGCATAAACCCGCACATCTCAAGTGAGAGGAGACTTAGTGTAAAGCTGCCGATGAGACAGTGCTGTTAGCCAAGAGATCGTGAGGCAGATGGTCACTTTATGAGATGCTCCAACAGTTTCTTCAAACACCTATATTCTACAGTGAGAAATACATTTTTAAAACATTGTCAAAATGCTTTGTTCCCACTATGTAACTTAAAGGATAACAATTAGGCTACAGATATAGCATGTTCTTTCACATTTTATGCCTATTTTATGTTCTTAGGACATTGGTTAACTGCCGTGGTTTTTAAATGTGCAATATAAATACAATAGATTTTGACATGAAAGGTGGTTCTTTTGGCTATAATCTTCCACGATATTGCATTAAACTTATATAGAGCACATAATAATAGAACAGGTATGTCATCAAGTATTGACGATAGTTCTGTTTCTGAATTACATAAGGGTTATTGCTGTTGTCAGGGAACAAATCCTATGAATTGGGAATTCGCTTTGACATGTTATTGCAGGAGATGAATAATACATTGAATAATTTTTTTTTAAAACATCTGTGAATCAAAGCAAATTAAGTTTGGAGTCCTGTTAATTGAAACGTTGACAGTTTCTGGTGAGAAACGATCCTATTCACTGTATATACTGTAGCTCTATGTATTTATGTGCCACAATGTAGATTGTGTTGGTCATGATCATATGCTCAATATAAATCAGTCAATAAAATTCACACAAACTACACTCTACAAAAATCCAGAAGCACAGTGTGACCCTACCCAGTAGCCGAAGATTAGATCTTTTATATAATTTTTAATAATGGGTTAAATATATAATATAGACCATCTTTGACATAATTCATCAAAATAGTACAAATAACACTATACTGACATAATACCTGTGACTGTACTATGAGCCGAGGGTTGTCCTTAAGAATACCAGGTAAAAGGTCATGCAAATGCAACTGTAAGGATAGACATTACCATAAGAGTATCAAGTTAGTGAGATCATTTGTAATAGAAATCTGTCCCATATGTTGGGATGTGTCTCACCAGCACATAGACAACGTTGTTTCTTCTGATTGTGTGGATAACTTTAGTCAAAAACCAACCTGAATTTATACTGTATACTGAAAAAAAAAAAAAAATGCAGATCAGGTTCAACTTATTCATAAAGATAACTATAATTAGACTCACCATGTTGTTTGTATTGGTTGTTACATTTATTGTTTAATAAATTGCTCTATGATGCTGTGTATTAAGGGCATTACAGCCCATGCCTCAGAACATCCTGATTTCACAATGAGCCACAGAGGATGCACTAGCACAACGTCACGCTGCTGGTGTGGAGGTAGTGATCGTTCATATTAGAGAGAGGCATTTTGACTTTAAGACCGGATTCAAAGATTATTGTAGAAACTAAAGAGAGGAAGAGAAATAGTAATATTATTCCAAAATGCCATTTGACAATAATATATAAAGTTTGGTTCTTGTGTATATGCTTTTAAATAATATAAAAGTGGTCATAATTGAAAAAATCATTAGTAATATTTAATATATAACCAGTGATGGGAATAACGGCGTTACTAGTAACGGCGTTACTAACGCCGTTACTTTTTTCAGTAACGAGTAATCTAACTAATTACTTTGACAGTAACTATAACGCCGTTATCATTTCCGACATCCCGTTACTGCGCGTTACTCAAGACGCACAATGAACGTGTTGTCATGAGAGAAGGGAGGATGAGAAAACCTCTCAGCAATTATTGGCTGATGTAAATCATATTTCCTTTACAATCTACATGTCTACAGTTGAGAGGATGGCTCATAAATTGTGTTTTTGAAACAAATATGGGTCTTAATCGCGCTCAACCACGGCTTGTATCACCGTGAGGTCAGCCACAGAGGAGCGCATGTGAGCGCAGAAGTCGGCTGCATACAATTCCATCGATAAGCTCCTTGCTCTTCCTGGTTTATCTGCTAAGGACAGCAACAGGTTTGGCTAACATACATATAACACATTTTTACATAATCTAAAATGCACATAGGGTAATTTTTCAATTACTATAGGAATGATAAGAAAGAGAGGTGAAGTGTAAGACGGTTGATTTTAGAAATTGGATGCAGCCGGCTGCAGCAAAACAGAGGAGTTTACGGAGGACACACGCGTTTTGTTTTACTTTTTAAAACTCATTGGACTCATTTCCAAATGGAGGATTACATATCTACGCTCAAACCATTCACTGGATTTAAACAAGGAACTGGTCTGAACCGAAGTGGACTGTGCAGGTCATTTATAAGGTAAGACCCATAACTCATAGTTTTGCGTTTTGTATGAACAAACAATGCGGGCATAAAACATATTTTGCTGTAGCCAAACAAATTGTCCACTTGATTTATATGATGTATATGTTCATCTGATTGGACTGAAGTCAGTGCTTCACCAGCCTCACCGCTCGTCACCGGTGTTTCCACATTCACAGTGGCGGGCTTTACAGCACAGACAGAGATGAAGAGTGAACAGGACTTCAGCAGCAAAACAGCCTTTTCTAGATGGAAATATTGGCACTGTTAAAGGTAAAAATGCGCACGTCGGGTGCACATTATGTTCCAGAACAAAACGAAAAAGTAACGCAATAGTTACTTTTACTGGTAACTAGTTACTTTTATAGTGGAGTAACTCCGTTAGTAACTCAGTTACTTTTTGGGAGAAGTAACTAGTAACTATAACTAATTACTTTTTCAAAGTAACGTGCCCAACACTGTATATAACCTTGTATATGAGGATGCAGGATATATGAGGATGTTTATGCAATTTGAAATAATAAAAGAGGAAAGGAAGTGCTAATATAATTACACCTGTATAACCAAGTTCCTCCACAAGTCTACGTTGTGATCACTATTTGCTTGTCTTACCGTCTTTGATTATGTTCTTGACCTGTCATCACCCGCTCGTTCCACTTCTCTGCTCTCACAATTCCAATTTTCTCCTTCTACATTTTTGTCCTTCCCACCTCCTTCACCTCTGTAATCCTCTGCTTGGGCTGCTATGCCTTTATCTCTCCTTTTTTTTTACCCCATTTCCACTCTCCCAGTCTCTTCCTGTCCTTCTCAGCACTTTCAAGGCTTCTCTAGTTAGTGCTCCTTCAAATAAATTATACATTTGACAATTGTAGTTGAAGTCAGTTTCTGCACAATCACATTACTGGTTTCATGTATGGCTCCCAACAAGAATGCTTCTACCAACGTTTGGGTCCATTTGAAGGTTTATGAAGGCCACATTTCAACATGCATGAATATTTATAAGCAGATGTGGAGTACGCTATACAGTATGTTCAGTGATTCTTGTTCTATTCTCAGATGGAGATGTTGTTCGGCTCGGTTAAACAAGTGTCCGCTCACTGTACTATGTCATTGGGTGTACTTGTGAGCTGTACTCTACTGTGCTGTGGGCTAGGATTAGAGATCAAGTGGTGAGCTCAAATGATCCAGGCCCAAGGGCATAAGCGGCCGCCCATCGATGGGGCCCTGAAAGCAGTCACCGGTCTGTGTGCCCCCTGCAGTGGGATAAAGCGATACGGTCTTGGGCCATAGATCGAGAAAGAATCCACAAAAAATTTTGAACAGAAACTGTGCACCAATGCCCTACCACTGAGTCATACGCACATGTCTAATGTTTACTTTGAATACGCCAATAAGTGAAATTTACTCCACACACGATATTAGATACAACTGTGAGCTGTTCTGCATCAGGTCTGAGCCAACACTAGACCCAGAGCGAAGGAGAGCTGGACTTTAGCTTGAATCTGATCAATCGACACATTCAAATAACAACCCTATAACAATTAACTTATATTATATTTTCATTGCATCACACATTTATTTTTCTTGGGTCACAACTACATTTGTAGATTGTCAGGTGGGCCAGAGGGAAGCACACGTTGGAAAACAATGCTTTAGATTTTGTTTAGTTTATGTCAAGCACACAATGAAAAAAATTTACACTTTTTACAACAAAAGAACAATGGCCGAAAGAAAACTGGAAGTAAAATAAAGAATATTCA